TTACAGTGGTCCTGGAGCTCCCAGCCAGTGAAGCTGGCCACAGGGCAGCACCGTGACTACTATTCAGGTCACATGTTCCCCGCGACTGCCCCCGGTCCACTCTGAGCAGTTCTTAGGACTAGCACTGCTTACATAGTTCCCAGGGCTGCCCAAACTGGCTCAGGGTGGAGGGGGTTGCCTCCAGGAAACTGCTGCTTTGGGTGCTCCCTGGAACCAGACACCTGCCACTGCTTGGGCAATCCAGAGCCAGTAGCCCAGTCTCCTTAGCAGCAACCAGGTTACAGCAGCCAGCCATGGGGCACCGTAGCAGTTGGTCCTAACTTCAGACAGCCATAAGGTTAACTGCCCCAGCTGCTACAGAAATCAGAGGTCACAGCAAGTCACCAAATCAGAGTTCTGCAACCTCTGAAAGAATTGCAGCTTTATCTAGCCCCACCTTCAACCTCTTGCATGCAGAAAGCAGCGGGTGGTCAAAAACATCAATACAATTGAGATGTCAGTCACAATCTTTATTTGGGATTTTATAATTTCACATGAACCAAGAGTCCTAATTTCTTCAGCCATCCATGAAATGATTGGGCAGAAAAAGCCAACTGAGCAGTTGTCTTCAAAAATAAATACAAGTGAAATCTGAATGAAAAGAGCTAGGGAATTTGGAAACCAAGCAGCAGCACGTAGAGCTGCACTTCCTGTTCAGTGTCAGTGAACTAATCAAGTTACCAAAAAAAAAGCTATGGTTACATTTGATCAGACATTTATGTCCAACAGCCATGGAATTGCACTTTTATGAAGATGTTAGGGCCAAGTCCACTGTGCGTATATACAGGTGTTTCAGCGGCGCTGCAGCTCTTTCATTCTGTTCAGGGCACTACCAGCCTGGAACCATTCTATCTGTGTCTCATTGAAGGTGTGGTTCAGCACGATTGTTTCCTGACTCCCATTAGGATGCTTGATGATGCATTTGAGGGGCTAGAGAGGAGGGAAGCAAGAGACTTGGAGTTTGTGTGTTCTCTGAGCAACATTACAAGACAGTGCAGGATGCTCACTGGAAAGTCCTTGGTCCCACCCTGTTGAAAGGGCTAAAGGGAAGTACTTGAAGGAGCACACTGAGCCCCTGCTATACAAGAGCAAGTGCCCCTTCTGTTTAATTTCTAACCCAAGCACTCTTGAACTCAAGTGCCTTACACACATTGCCTCTTCCATCCAGCTGGCAGCCCAATTTCTCCATTTATAATCCCATTACACTTCAGTGGCAGCTACAGCAATCTTAAAGGGAAAAAAACAAGTAATTTACCACCTCATATTCAATGGAAGGTGGCAGCAGGAACTGAGGCCAGCACCATGCAGTGAGCCAGCTCTCTGGACCACTGGTAAGTCAAGAATAACTGGACTAACCTATATGGACCATTCAGGTACATTTGACAATTCCTGTATTGGCAATTCCTGTATTTGTA